CCTTGTAACCGCACTGCCCCCCACCATACCTAACGCCCCGCACACTATCACCTCCCCAACTCTCTGCTCCTTCAGCCCTGCTACCACTGAGGAGGTCACTAAGGTCTTCACTGAAGCACGCCTCACCACTTGCCCCCTGGACCCTATCCCCTCACAACTCCTCCAGTCACCCCCCTCCTCCCTCATTCGCTCCCTCACCCACATCTTCAATCTCTCCCTCTCTACTGGCGCATTCCCCTCCCCCCTAAAGCACGCACACATCACCCCCATACTCAAAAAACCCTCCCTTGACCCACTGACCTAAACAACCTTAGACCCATCTCCCTGCTACCATTCACTTCCAAGCTCCTTGAGCGCATAGCCTATAATCGCCTAAGCACCCACCTCAACGACAACAACCTCCTTGATCCACTACAGTCTGGCTTCCGTCCCCTACACTCCACCGAAACCGCCCTACTTAAAATCACTAACGACCTGCTAACCGCCAAAGCTAATGGCCACTACTCAGTCCTCCTGCTCCTCGACCTCTCCTCGGCCTTTGACACAGTCGACCACCCCCTCCTCCTTACCAAACTGCACTCCTTTGGCATCAGGGACGCTCCTCCTACCTATCCCAATGCTCCTTCAGCGTCACCTATAAAGCTGCCACCTCCCCCCCTTTCTCTCCCCCTCTCTGTTGGAGTCCCCCAAGGCTCTGTCCTCGGACCCCTCCTCTTCTCCATCTACACCTCCTCCCTTGGCAAACTGGTGCACTCCCACGGCTTCAACTATCACCTCTATGCCGATGACACACAAATTTACCTCTCCACCCTTCACCTCACCCCCTCTCTCTCTGCCCGCATCGCCCACCTCCTGAACGACATATCAGACTGGATGTCACTCCATTTCCTCAAGTTAAACCTGTCCAAAACCGAGCTCCTGGTTTTCCCCCCAGCCGCGCGCCCCCCCCCCTTTCTCTCCATCAGGACTAGCAACGCCACCATCAATCCCACCCCACACGCCAAAGTTCTGGGTGTCACCCTGGACTCAAACCTTTCCTTCCGACTTCATGTCCAATCACTATCAAAATCATGCAGGCTCCACCTCCACAACATCTCCAAGATACGTACGTTCCTCACCCCAGACACTACTAAACAACTCATACACTCCCTCATCATCTCACGCCTGGACTATTGCAACTCCCTTCTCACTGGCCTACCCAAACAAACGCTATCCCCACTCCAGTCTATCCTGAACTCAGCGGCCAGACTCATCCACCTCACCAACCGCTCCACATCTGCCACCCCCCTCTGCCAATCCCTTCACTGGCTCCCGATTGCCAAGCGCATCAAATTCAAATTACTAACTCTGACCTACAAAGCCATTCACAACGCCGCCCCAAACTACCTAACTGACCCAATACCCAAATACCACCCTACCCGTCCCCTTCGCTCCTCACAGGACCTCCTACTCTCTAGCTCCCTGGTCCTCCTCCTCCCACGCCCGACTGCAGGACTTCTCCAGGACTTCCCCCATCCTCTGGAATTCACTACCCCAATCCATCAGACTGTCACCTACCCTCCTCACCTTCAGGCGCACCCTGAAAACCCATCTCTTCAGGGAAGCCTACCCCACCCTCACCTAACAACCGATCTCCTTCACTCCTCCCACCACTCCATCCCCCACAGCCACTTCCTCCTGTACCACTATCCCTCCCTCCTAGATTGTAAGCTCGAAAGAGCAGGGCCCTCGAACCCCTTGTGTATTGTATTGTACTGTATTGTCTCATGTTCTGTCCCCCTCGCTATTGTACAGTGCTCAGCAAACCCTTTGGCGCTATATAAATACTGTATAATAATAATAATAGCCAACTGCAGCACATTTTATGTAAGAAACAACTGGCCGAAATGTATTAGAGCAAAAGAGCACAGGCAGACCTTTTGCTACAAGAATTTGAGGAAGACATATGACACATAAGTGTAAAACTGGCTAGCACCTGGACAATTTAAATAGCAAGGCTAAGTCGATTATGCCCAATAGGTATATGCAAAAGTTTTATTCTATCAATGGGGATGTGGGTGCAGTGAATGTGAGTGATAAATTGTGAGGTGGTTTAGGTGCACACCAGGGGTGGACTGACAACTCATGGGGACCCCGGGCAATTGGGGATAATGGGGCTCCTGTGTCCTTGCCCAAACTCAAAAAAGTCTATGAAAAAGGTACCAGAGGCATCTCATGGGGCCCCCTACTGACCCCGGGCCCTTGGGCAGTGCCCGAGTTTCCAAATGGTCAGTCCGCCCCTGGTGCACACTGTTCTTCCACTTTTTTTTTTTTTTTTTCATTGAAAATGGCACACAAATAGCAGGTCTAAGAACAAATGATCAGTAACAAGTCAATGCTGCACTTTGAGCCAAACTTAAAAAATGCCCTATATCACTCAAAAAACAAAATATCACTTTTGTCTGAAACTTTGCAGCAAAAAAATGTAGATTAATCAATTTCCCTCCAGTGGATTTACCCCCCTTTCTGACTAGGCCATTTTTTGCAATATGGTGCTGCATTACTTTAACTGATAATTGCGCGGCCATGTAACACTGTACATAAATGAAATGTATGTAATTTTTTCCCCACAAATAGAGCTTTCTTTAATCACCTCTGCAGTTTTTATTTTTTGCGCTATAACAAAAAAAAAAGACCAACATTTTTGAAAAAAAACTATATTTTTGACTTTTTCTATAAAAACATAACTAGTAAAAAAAATATAAAAAATCTAATTTCTTCATAAATTTAGACCAAAATGTATTCTGCTACATGTCTTTGCTAAAAGAAAAATCCCAATACATGTAAATTAATTTGTTTACGTGAAAGTTATAGTGTCTACAAATGACTATATACTGTATATACTGGAATTTTTTTTTTTTTTATACTAGTAATGACGGTGATCAGCGACTTATAGCAGGCATTCTGACACTGGGTGGGAACTAACTGCCACTGACATCCCATTGACACTAATACAGTGATCAATGCTAATGAAGAGCACTGACACTGTACTAATGACACTGAGCAGAAAGGGGTTAAAATCTAGGGCGATCAAAATGTTAACTGTGTGCTGTGTGCTGTGTGCTATGTGCTGTTTTACTTTATGTGCTGTGTGTGTTTTACTAGGGAAACATGCTGCTTTGTATTTCTCTGCTACCTAGACTAGGGACTACCTAGAGAACTGGGGAACATCAGCTTTCTTTTTATAGCAAGACGTACCTTTTTTCTCAGAGTAATAAAGTAATTTAGTATTGCAGACATACGCCATATGGATTCATGTGCAATTTACAGTAATGCACTTTATAAATGTGCAATATGTTCCAAATCGAGCAAAGATCATTTAATTCTACCGAAAAAAAAAAACTGGGAGGAGAAAGATAGTGTAACCATATGACCTGACAAATTCATGTTACTGGCCTCTTATTCAATCACAGAGTTCCATCTGCAGCACTATGCAGAGAGAACTACAGAGGACATGCCATGTCCTGTATTTAGGAAATGACTGGTAAAACATTAGCACAGTGTGGAGCAAACACTGTGGTATCCAACATAAAGAGATAGTGTTATCTGCTCTCTACTATAAACTCATTTCTGTGAAGGGATATTTATAAAACATTAGTTGGACAAATGTAACACACATTCATGCAGACTGGACAAAATTTTCCCTGTATTTCCTGTATATAGATTAATTCCTATGATCACCAGCTCCATTTAGTGGCCAAAATGCGGTATATTTTCTCATGAGTTAGTTCAGAAAACTAAACTGCATTTTGGATGTTATAGGGATCTGATGGCCATATGAAATAATCTATTATAGAAAATAATGGGGGAAATTCAGCCAGCTTGCACAAATGAGTGCAGCAGTCATTTAACTCATATTTTATAAATAGACCCCTACTTCTATGGTGGGTTCTAAATGCTGTGCTTTTTTAGTGTGTAAATGTAAAAAATGAGAAATGCACTGGGGCAGTTCAACAAAACTGGGACTCCTTGGAAAAGCAGCAGGCCAAACTGTTGAAAAACATTTGCTTCTGCTAAATCATACCTCTAAAAACACATAAAGCAGTCAGATAACTTAATTACTAAATCGGTAAACTTAAAGTATGACTGTATTATTTTTTTAAAATAAATTATTTATTTATGAAGGCAACCAGAGTAAAAAATACAGTAATTGTGTATCTGGGTGCCTGTGGGTTCTGTGTTTGTGAACCTCCACCTGCTTGACACCCCCCCACACTCCCCCCACCCCACTACACTGGTATTGCCAAGAGGAGGCTGGTGTTATAGAGTTATTATGGGAAACAGCTGGGTTGTGTGCACTCCACCTGGCTCTCCCCTCTCATTTCTTTGTTACTGTGTGGAGTGGGCTGCACACCTCTGTGTGTGTTTGATTCCCCACTTGGCTCCGCCATTGTGTCACATCCCCCCACCACCACAGTGATGATGGACAAATAAGCAGCAGTGTGGAGCCTGCAAGGAGGAGATTGGATGTTACAACAGATGCTAAGGATCATTGAATATATAGTCCTTAAAGGAGACTGCTCAACACAAGTCAAAGGAGGCTATGAGCTGCAGCACTTAAATACCTGGGATGCCTTGCCACACAGAAGAGAGGACACAGACTTTTTCTTGGGTAAATCTAGAGAGATCTGGCCAGTTGAGGTTGGGAGCAAAAGAGTGAGGGACATGCTGTCTGAGATGTCTGCATCCACACACCTCTCTCGACATCACCCCTAGCTCCACCCAATTGTGCTGTGATTTGCCAAAGCATTGCACCTGGCCTGTTGTCAGGTGCATTGCTTTGACCAATCACAATACACTGTCAGAGCATAGTGCATTGTGGGGTGTGGCATGATTACTTGGTACCACCCCACTAGCCTATACTGTACAGAGGTACAAGCAATGAGTCTTGAGGATTTAAATTCAAGAGATTTGATTTTAACCTCCCTGGCGGTATTCCCGAGTGTGTAGCTCGGGGTAACATTTCAGTACCAAAAGCGGTAACCCCGAGCTACACTCGGGCTTACCCTGTGGCACTGCTCCGGCATGTGTTCTTCACTTACCTTACCCTGCGCTCCCACGATGTGTCCCCTGCAGCGTCCCCGGCCATCTCCTCCGGCCGATGCCGGCATCCGGCTTCTGTGTCCTGTCCCTGTGACGTCGGGACGTACGGGCGCCGCCGCCGGGGCGGGAAATGTAAAAATTTTAAAAAATGTCATTTTTTTTTTTTTTACATTTTTTACATAGTAAAAACATTGCTGTCTCAAAACCAATTTCACATACATATTGTCCCTAGTGCTTTGTCCTGTGCCCTGCCTGCATTTTGTCTGTTCTTTCTGCCTGGAAACTGAGAAATGTCCATGGCGTCCAAAAAGTGTCCCTTTAGGTCAAAAGCGGTTTAGATCAGCTAGAGAACAGCGATAGTAAATCAGAACCACTTGCAGATTTGAGTGATAATGATTCGTGGGGGAAATTCGTCATCAGACACTGAAAACGATTTTGCGACTTTTGCTCAGCAATGTGCGAAACTTGGCGCTCTATTTCACATTTCAGTGTTTTTGGTTTGATTATATTATTGAATTAAATTTTTTATTATTTTTATATTATTTTTATGATTATTTATTAAATTATAATTTATGATTTTGTGTTTCAAATTTTATTATACCCGGGATGTTTACTAGACTCTTGTTCGGACAGATTTCAGTGAGTTTTTCCTAAAAAATTACAGCCTACAAAAAAAAAATACATATTTCCATGCAAAAAAAAAAAAATGGTCCCCAAAAAACATGGTTTACGCTTTCAGCACCAAAAATCTGAAATAATCATAACCGCCAGGGAGGTTAATTTGTTGCATTTTATAAAAAATCTTTATTTTAGTTTCTTATTTTCATTTTGTTTTTATATAAATCTATTTACAACTTTTTTGTTGCATATTAAAATGTAGTTTCCCCATGATTGCTCTTGAGAATTTGAAGTTTATGAGATTTGACTTTACTTTGTTGCTGTGACCTTCAGTTGCAAGTTTAATGTCTCATACATGGCACTACATTACAAAAATATTGTTTTCCAGCTCATGTCTGCTCTGTAGTACATTGACCTTTGCAGTACGTTCCACATCATGCCCTTCAGTGCGCTGCTCTGACCCATCAGCGCTATCATCAGACATACAGAAAATAAATCTGATGATGATTTTTTTTTGTTAGCTAATGTAGCAGTAAATTACTGCTCATGGTGGTAATTATTAGAATTAGCACCTAATTATGCATTGTAATCACACCTGGCATGACATGATTCAACACCTAAGTCCTTAGCTGATAATGTAAGGAGGTAGTTACATATACATCGGCACATGGCAAAAAGCCCATTGATGGGAATTAAACTGCATGTCTGTTTTGCTTTAGTGAAAATCTCAAACAAGTTTTCCAATAGTTTTGGTGTAAATTCCAGACAAGAGCCTCAACTGGAAATTGAAAATGAATGCAAGTCCCAATTGTTTCATTAATTCTTGCTGTTTGGCCAATCCTTGTAGTAAAGTTAAGAAGACTGACACAAGAGTAGTATTAATGTGCCTTTACTAAAGAATATAGGAATGACGTGTTTAGAACTGTCCCCACCAGAAAGCTAACGTGTGACTACTCTTTGACTTCAAACCAGCATCAGTTCTTACACTTGCACACTTTGTACATTTGCAAAGTCAGGGATTTTGTAGGATTAGAGTCAGGGGCAGACTGACCATTTGGAAACTCGGGCACTGCCCGAGGGCTCGGGGTCAGTACGGGGCCCCATGAGATGGGCCTGGTACCTTTTTCATAGGCTTTTTTGAGTTTGGGCAAGGACACAGGGGCCCCATGATCCCCTATTGCCCGTGGGCCCCATGAGTTGTCAGTCCGCCCTGATTAGAGTTAGGTGTTTTATTAACCAATTATATTAAGCAGGTGCTAGTGATCATCAATTTCATATGTAGATTGAAACACAGTATTAACTGTAACAGAAACAGCTGTGTAGGAGCCTTTAACCATTTGCCGCCCACCCTATGGCCGAATGGCGGCCAGGCAAATGTCATCAGTGTTCCGGGTGGACGCCATATGGCGTCCTCCCGCACATGCGCAGATCGCGCTCCTGCAGAGCCGCGCAGCGGCGCGATCTGTCACCGGCTGTGTACCTCGGACACGGCTGATGACAGATCTGAGTATCGACCCCGTTGCTGGTACCATGTACCTGTGGTACCAATCACAGCAGGTCACATGACAGTTGTAGACAATGGATGGCTTCATTAATGACATCCATTTTATACTAGTGTCTAGCTGTGAATGGTCACAGCTAATCACATGCACATGTCATGTGATTAGCTGTGGCCAAATCACAGCTAAGCACAAAAAAAAAAAAAAACCTGAATGAATCAATGTCATTCAGGTAAATGCTTGCTTATAGCAATGGTCAGTCCACCCCTGGTTTACAACCACTATAAAGACACAAGGACATACCAGAAGCCTAGCAAAACACAATGGCAGCTAAAAGCATTCAATGTGTCTCCACACTACACTGTGTGTACAATTATTAGGCAAGTGTGTATTTTGACCAAATCATAATTTTCATGCACATTGTTCAACTCCAAGCTGTATAAACCTGAATGCTTACTGGATTTAAGCATATCAAGTCATGTGCATTTGTGTAATGAGGGAGGGTTTGGCCTAAGGAAATCAACACCCTATATCAAGGTGTGAATAATTATTAGGCAGATCCTTTTCCTCAGGAAAAATGGGTCAAAAAAAAATTTAACTGACTCTGAAAAGTCAAACATTTTAAAAAGTCTTTCAGAGGGATGCAGCACTCTTTAAATTGCTAAGATATTGGGACATGATCACAGAACCATCAAATGTTTTGATGCAAATAGTCAACAGGGTCACAAGAAATGTGGTGAGAAAAAAAGACACAATTTAACTGACAAATATTTGAGAAGAAACAAACATGAAGCTACCAGGAACCCATTATCCTTCAGTGCTGTCATATTCCAGAACCGCAATCTACCTGGAGTGCCCAGAAGTACAACATGTTCAGTGCTCAGAGACATGGCCAAGTTAAGGAAAGCTAAAACCAGACACCACTGTACAAGACACATAAGTTGAAATGTCAGGACCGGGCCAAGAAATATCTGAAGACTTTTCAAAGGTTTTATGAACTGATGAGAGTTACTCTTGACGGACCAGATGGATTGGCTCATGGCTACATCAGTAACAGGCACAGAGCTTCACTTCGACTCAGACGCCAGCAAGGTGGAGGTGGGGTACTGATTTGGGCTGGTATTATTAAAGATATGAGCTAGTTGAACTTTTTCGGGTTGAAGATGGACTCAAAATAAACTCCCAAATCTACTACCGGTTTTTAGAAAACAACTTCTTCAAGCAGTAGTACAGGAAAAAGTCTGTATCTTTCAAGAAGACCATGATATTTATCCAGGAAATGCTCCATCGTATGCATTAAAGTACTCCACTGTGTGGTTATCCAGTAAAGGCCTTAATGATGAAAGAATAATGACATTGCCTCCTTCCTCACCTGATCTAAACCCTATTGAGAACTTGTGGGCCTTTCTTAAACATGAGATTTACAATGAAGGAAAACAGTACACCTCTTTGAACAGTGTCTGGGAGGCTGTTGTTGCTGCTGCACAAAATATTGATCGTCAACAGATCAAGAAACTGTTAGACTTCTTGAATGGAAGGCTCATGACTGTTATTGAAAGGAAGGGTAACTATATTGGTCACTGATTTTTTTTTTTTTCTCTTTTGAAATGTCAGAAATGTTTATTTGTAAATTTTGAGTTGTTTATTATTCTCACTTCAACAGATGAAAATAAACAAGTGAGATGGGAAAATTTTTGTTTATCATTTAGCTACATAATGATTCTACACACTAATAGTTACCCAATAATCGTACACAAATAGATATTCTCCTAAGAAAGCTAAAACTTCACTTTTACTTTCTTAAATATTCAGGTTTGAAATTTATTAACATTTTGGATTGACTGAAAACACTGTAGTTGTTCAATAATTAAATTAATCTTCAAAAATCTAACTTGCCTAATAATTGTGTACACAGCGTATATCAAGCAAACTAAGCAAAAATTGTGACCACCCCTGTTTATACTTAGCTTTTAGAGCTAGGTACACATGGCAGTGCTTTACAAACAGCAAACTAAACAAAGTGTATTTCTCAGCACTTAACAACTAACCAGCAAAATAACAAAACAAAAAAAACAAAAAAAAAGCACAATCTTTGTCTAAAGAGCAAGTGAATTGATGATCCTATTCCATCAATAGGTGCATTTCTACACTGCAGCATGGCAATGTATTGATCATTCCATTTTTGTTTGCAAATATTGATAGCTTAAACAGCTCTAGCTCCTTCTTCCAAATGACATGTACTTGCCATTTTTAATCCCATGCCTCTCCATATGGTCTTCAGTAGCAGAGTGAAATACCCAACACTTCTAGGTGTAGGTAAAAAATGTACTCCATCTTTAATGTGACAACACTAGGTACCTAGTGACTGCACCAGAACTGTCACATGGAGCTCCATAACCCTCTGTATGATCTGACAGGCCTGACGCTTACACAGGACTTTCTTTCCCACTCTGGGTGGCAGAGTGACCCTTTTACTTTGGTCAAAGGAAAGTCTTACTTTATGCCCAGACTTGCTCAGACTCGCAACACTGGATTAACCCTCTAAAAGTGGACTAGCAAATTATTTTTTAGGACCACTTGCTATTTTACTTCAACCTTCAATCTTGAATCAATTTAGGTTTTTTTTATATACATTACAGGTCAATCATTGTGAGATGCAGTAAGTAGCCAAAACAGTAAGCAGTACAATTTCTTATTCGGTAAATGTTGGTATATGGTGACATTATTGCACAACTGTTACGTATTTATGTCATTTACATAGAAATTACACTATGTTTTTATGTCATTTTCATAGTACACTATTTTTCTATGTGCTTAATTAGGTAATATTTGTGACTTCCTACCTTATTTAACCCCTTGACACCGAACGCACGCAAATATTTTGCCTCTCAGCATCTAATTGCATATTTACCTGCAATTAAAAAAAGTGCGCCCTGCGTGCTCCCAGCACATATGCCCGTGACTCAGGGAAAGGTCCTGATCTCCCCTTTCCATCGGGACCTTTTCTGATTATATGACTGCCATGGCGGCGAATCACGGTGGTCACATGACCATAAAACCCCGCCCACCTCCCGGCTTTTGAAACTCTTAAAGGGCCGGGAGGCGCCGGCGCTAAGAGGTTAATAACTAAAATAGGTACTCCAAGTTTTTCTATGTAA